AACGTCTGTATGAATTTATCAAGAATTTTCTATTAAAAAGGACTCTGTCAACATACAGTCCATAGTTAAATTTCCTATAAATTCATCACTCATTTTCCATTTTCTATTGAACCTGCATTTTTTCTATAGCTAGCGCAAAGAGGGTTTTGAAAATCAAAGGCTCGACTCAAACACTCTAGAAAATGATAAACCCTTCTTACTTTCTTGCGTCGTCATTCTCAGATAGGAAATTTTTGTGAGAGCTGATATGACTGATCTTCAACCATACAAAATACTATATACAAAAGAAGGATTTAACATACATCGGGACGCCAGCAGAAAAAAATTTCTTCTTCTTATCCTCTTTATTCCTGATGGTCGACATAGAGGTTGTGTTGTTGTTGATTGAGTCTGAAAGTATTCCGACGATAACAAAAAAGTCACTTCAAAAAAGATTGTTTAATTAGAAGCTCAAAACCGATTTATTGACAAAACTAATTTAAAATCATGGATCTCTTCAAAACAAGAAATAGGCAGAACTGCACAATGCAGAAAGATTGCAGTTTTCTAATTTCGTCTATTTTTCCATTATAGCTACCATTTTATCACATCATTTTGACCACCATCAACGTCTAAAATATGTCCAGTTATATGATTCGCCGTTACATTTGATGCCATGAATGCACAAGCTTGTGCAATATCATTTGGAGTGGCTACTTTGTGTAATGTTTGTGTTCGAATAAAGTTTGAATGCAAATTTTTGTCAATTATTTGTTTTGTCAATGGAGTAAGAGTCAAACCAGGTGAAATAACATTAGCTCGAGCATTTGGAAATATTTTAACAATTTCATTTTTCACCGTATGAAGAAAAGCAGTATGAATTGCACCTTTACAAGCTGCATAATCTATATGATTTTCCTCGCCAAACTTAGCTCCTGCAGATCCAATATAAATAATATTTGCATTAAATGAATTTATATCTTTGTCAGTCGATAGTGTTGGTTTATGTTTTATTAGTTGTTTACACCACTCACGCGTATATAAAAAGTAAGATGTTAAATTAACGTTTAATGTTTTATTCCATTGTTCTAATGACATCTCCCATATTGGAATATCATCTGTCACGTAAACAATATGAGGAAGAATTATAATATTAATAACACCGAATTTCTCATAACTTTTTTCCATACCGTTTACAATTTCTTCTTCATTTTCTGCATTCACTGATAATGCATATGTTGTGTTTGGATATTCATTTAATAAGAATTGCAAAGATGCGCAGTTTTTATTATAATGCATTGAAACTTTAGCACCTAAAGATAAAAGCAACTTGCAGATTTCCGAGCCCATGCCACCGGCACTTGCAGTAACCAGAACATGTTGTCCATGAAAGCTCATTTTTTCGTATAATTTTAAGGCAGTGTAGATAAATATTTGATAAAACAAATGTTTCTTAGCCGTTTTTCATTGGGAAGGTGATCAGAGAGCGTTCAACCGAATAAATAAAACGTTATTCTAATATTATCATTTTCTTTTTTGCATCTAATTCCCTTACTTGCTTGCATGAGTATATGTACATGTGTATGGTTTCAGAGTGTATATACTTGTACACCAAATTCTGTATGGATGACTATAGTCATGAGAGTGAGCTATATAGGTGATTTTAATCATCAATGACACGATATTTTTATTGAACAAATCGACAGAAACATGAAGTAAAATCGATGTGCATACACACCGATATTAGTGTGAGAGACATACAAACCTTCACATTTTCGAATCTTAATTAGAGAGAGTAGTGCTATAGAATTTGTTTTTATGGAATAGTATATATAATAAAATGTGTTACATTCTCCATATTGTAAAAAGAGGGAGCTTTTCTGTTTAGCTATCCACTTTCTCATCCAATATTACAATTATTTTTTGCACAGACTCAAAGATAATGACATTGTAGAAGTTCATATAGTAGAGATCTATGAGTGGAGGTTAGATACATTGAATACATTAATCTTTTCTAGAAACATGCTTGGTAATATATGTTGTTTTGATTTTTCCTTGTTATTCGATTAACGTGCTGTAAATATAGAAAATACTGAATTGTTTCCTGGAACAAAACTAGATGCAAAGAACGCCTTAGTAAGGCGCCAGTAATTGTATAAAAAACTACGAAAGCTTTCTTCTGAATATCCAGTAATATTAAAATTCTAATGTGATCACAGCTGTCTCTTTGAGTTACTTTTCGCATAAATCTTTACTTTCATAATAAAAAGCATGATGCTATTGTATTTTCCTTATAATAGCAAAAATATTTTGTTCTAAGAAAGTATAAACACTATGACAGTAGAATGAACTATAAAAGAAATGTTCTC